ATATTAACAACGCTGTTGTTTACAATACAACCGGAGCACATGCCACTGAGATGAGGGGCGGGACGCTTAGACACACACTAGAGGCGGGTTAGCCAATCACAACACACTGGGCTAGCTAACCAATCAGAGTCGATCGCCTATTTCTGAGGGCGGGGCTTCATAAAAGCAGGAAATGATGAGCGTGTTTCTCAGAGAAGGGACAGAACGGTGTGGAATAAAGGTAAATTATGTTAAAAATAATGTGTTTTTTTAAAAACTAAGCATTAACACATGACTGCACCCCATAAACACAATTAAGCCTAGAAAAAAAACAGTGAACCACCCCTTTAAGTCAATGGCTACCATCAACTGTTTGGCATTCTTCAAAGAAAAAAAATACTGGTTTCAACAACTTGAGGGTGAGTAAATGATGAAAGAATGACAAGAGTAAAAAATTATGAAAGAAATTAATTTTGGGTGAACTATCCCTTCACAATCTTGTACCTTGGTCTTTTTTATTGTTTTGCTTCAAATAAAATATGTAATGTTGTGATTCACTTCGCAGCTGGTTGGCTTGGTTCATGGCTTATAATGCTTTAACAAAGACTTTTTTTTTTTTTTAAATCCCTATAGGAAAAATAAATGGAAAAAATACTTCCAGAATCAACGCCACAGAAAAGTGGGCACTAATGCATTCTCTGTTGTAGGCTGCTTATGGGGAGTGGGAGCATGCTTATACAAATGTTGTATTTTAAACCCTGTCACATGGTTCTACTCTATTCCATAGCAACCTTTCTTCTCCCAACTTGTTTTCAGATCTCAGCACTAATTCCTTTGGTGACGTAGACACTGACTCAGCAAGCTGCACCTTCAAAGCCTGTACAAAACTCCTGTGAAGCCAAACTCTTAAATGTGCCCATTACATCTACCATCATTCCCCAACCATGATAGATGGCATCTAAAAATTCACAAACATGTTTAATAAAATATTTACGACTCTAAAACCAACCAGTGCACATGCTCAGAGAGAATCATAGCCCCTGGTGCTTTTAGAGGCCAGACTGTAGCTGCTCTCTCCTGTAATGCGCTCAGTGCATTGGGAGTGTGGAAATGAAGATCTGGACATTAATGGAGGGGGGAGGGGATGGGCAGACGGGAGAGGTCACTCACCAAACACATCCTCTTCTGCCTCGGCCAGTGGAGTGGAGGACATCTTCAATCTGAAAGAGTGAAACTTTACAATTGAAATGCATATGGACAAGAAAACATTTCTTGGCCACAAACAGAGCAGTGGCAGTCTGTGCTTTTCAAGTGGGGAAGCACAGATGTCACTGATCAATTGAAAAGTGCTCAAATTTGTTCTTTTTGTGTGTGCAATGCTGATTCTAAAATCTGCTCCTCAAACTACCACTAAATTAAATTAACTGAAAATAATTGACCAAGCTCAGTACTGTACTGTAATGTAATGTAATGTAACATTTCTGAATTATTGTAGTTGAATTATAGGGAAACCAAGTGCTATTTTATGTGTAGTATTTTATATTACATACTCTAGTTCTGGTAAATTCACATAAACAAACCCTTTAGTAGGGGCACAAAACACACACACACACACACACACACAAACACACACACATAAACGGCACTGACCAGTTAGCCAGGTTGGATTTGGCTGCCACATACACAGTGTCCAGGCAACAGGCCACTGTGCCATCTGCTGCCCTATCTATCTATCTATCTATCTATCTGGCTGATCTGCACATTTTTGTTTATCTGTATTTTCACTGTTAAAGAAAAAAACTGTGAATTTTATGGTATTAAAAAGGCAGCTGTGGTTGCCTAGAACATTTTAAGTTTTACTGATTGAAATTACATTTACAGTAAAAAAACAACAACTTATATTTCATAAACTGAAATAATGTTATAAGATATTACTTAAATATGATTTAACTTCACAATATACTGACAACCACCTTTAAAAAGCACAGGATATAAAAATAAAGCTAATCACAAGTAGGTCTTCCACAAGCTGAGGTACATAATACATAGAAGGTGCACACAGTGTCATGCACACAAATACAAAACACCACCATGGTAACAAACATTAAACAACACTAAAATAAAGCAATAATCCTTATTTAAAGTGAAGTGACATGTGGCCAAGTATGGTTACCCATACTAGGAATTAGTGCTCTGCATTTAACCCATCCTAAGTGCACACACACACAGCAGTGAACACACACCCGGAGCAGTGGGCAGCCATTTATGCTGCGGCGCCCGGGGAGCAGTTGGGGGGTTCGGTGCCTTGCTCAAGGGCAACCTCAGTCGTGGTATTGAAGGTGGGAGAGAGCGCTGTACATTCACTCCCCCCACCTACAATCCCTGCCGGACTGGAGACTCGAACTCGCAACCTTTGGGTTACAAGTCCGACTCTCTAACCATTAGGCCACGACTTCCCCAATAAACATTTAATAAAATAATTTTAAAATAATTAAAATAGTTATATTACAATAAAATTAAATGTAATATAAAACCCTAATGTACACAATTGATAAGAAAATAAGTAGAAACCGTTATTTCAATGGAATTGCAATCAAATGTGAGCTGTCACAGATTTCTGTAAAAACATTAATTCCCACTGTAAATTATAAGATGAGTTCTTCTTTTTCACTTCCAAAAACTGTAGTTATCTCTAGTACTTTGCTGTAAAATTACACAAAATGCCCAATTAGCTCTATTATAGTTTTTAACCAAATAACTTTTAACAGCATTTTTACAATGATGAAATAGTGTGTTTAGAGATGAATTGTGATTAGGAGAGATAGTTGAAAAAGGTTCACCTCTCCTGTGGTTAAGTTCAAACCTCTGATCCATTAACCAAGGCCTCTTTACACGCTCAGAAAAAAAGGTAAAAAAGCTGTCACTTTCATTCCTTATTTACCCCTAAAAGGTACCTATTAGTACCGTAAAGTTACCTTGTGAAATGATACTGCTCCAGTGACAGCTTTTGCTCCTTTTTGGGGGCTAAACAGTCACTAAATACAGAATAAACACAAGACAGGACTACAATTTGATAAGAAATCACTGTAATCTGACTGTCTAGGCCACTGACACTGTCTATATGACTATAAGGGCCTCACTTTCAGAAGTCATCTCACTGTGATGGAGATATGAAGCTAATGGCCATAAAACTGCCCCCCCCACACACATTATCCCATCTATAAGAATTGGGGGGGGGGGGGGGGGGGGCAAGGAGGCGAAGCGCGGGAGCTTCCTGACAGCCTGATGGATAAAGCTGCCCTTCAGTCTGCTGGTCCTGGCCTGGAGACTCCGCAGTCTCCTCCCTGATGGCAGCAGACTGAAGAAGCTGTGTGTCGGGTGGGTGGGATCACCTGCAATGCAGAGGGCTTTGCGGGTGAGACGGGTG